GTCCAGTATAATATACTGGAGTTTGGAGCACCGGTGCTCCAATCTCCAGTATATTATACTGGAGTCAGCAAAGTATACTCGTCCAGCATAATATGCTGAAGTTCATACACAGGTGCACCGTACTCCAGTATATTATGCTGGACCGGTCTCTATTGCAGCAAAATAGTGGCTATTTTTCATTGACTTTGTAAACGCTGACTATTTTTTAATGAACAGTCCGAAAACTGGTTATACCATGCTATTTTTACCTGCTTCCCTGAGCAGACTCTAATTGGCATGATATATATTCTGTCTTAACTTTTATATTTTCTTTGACTTTTTTTTTTTACTTTCACTAGGACTAATTATATTGTAGTAGTTAAAAGAATTTTTTTAATTTCTTAAACAATAATTGTGTCGTTTAATTTTAGTAGAATAGAGTAATTTAATTATTTAAATAAAGAAGAAAGAGAGAACAGAGGGAAGGAGGTGAGGAGTGATCATGACAAATGAAGTAGGCACCAATTTTCATTTACACTAGTAGCCATAAATACATATGACACATCAACAGATTAGATTAGTTTGTAAAATTGGAAGTACATAGTATATTAAAACAAAATCTTAATGTGTCAAAACTAATCCTTCAAATGTTGGAGTAGCTGCAAAATCTTCCTTTGCTGGCCATAAAACTCAAGATAGGTATTTGCATGTACCATAACCTAAAAAATCACAAACAAACAAACAAAAACAACCATTAGTCATGATCACTCCTCAAAATTGGATTTAACTCATGTACATTAATAGCGAAAATAAGTATTACAGTATTAATATATTTTAACATATTATAACAAGTTGTCTACCTTACTTTTCAGGTTACTATAATCTCATATGTTATGAACTTAAATATAAGAAGTATTTTAATATGTTAGCTTAAAAATCCTTTAGCTGACCTAATAGCGTAAATAATCCTTTTTGCGCTGTCAATTTAAAGAACTTTTACAGTATCGATGTTATAGAATGTTATAACCTTATTATGGATGGTTATATGTAAAAATTATTTTGATATGTTACCTGTAAAGAATCTTTTAGGCGACCTAATGGTATAAAATTAGTGTGAAGAATTTTTATCTTAACATGTTATAGCACGTTACTTGCCTTACTATTATTTTTTTTGCTAATCTGAGTGGTCTGATAATGTAAAAATTCTTTTCCACTATCGTTGTATCTAAGTTAAATATGTTTAGAACGAAGTTTTGGATTCTTACTTGGATCAGCAAAGACGATGACAGCAGAGCCCGAAAAATCACAGTTGAAGTCGTTACGTCCCTTAGTTTGATAGTAAGAATTCATGACAAAGGCAGCATGAGATCTAACAGTGTTGGGGTCAAAGCAAAGACCTCCAGCTTGAACAGGGCGGCAATCCACACCTTGATTAGTACATATCCAGTCTATATTGGTTTGTAATTGTGCATCTGTAGCCTCTGGCTTTGGCATGCAGAATTTCTTGCCTAGAACTGGTTTTGGAATTGGCTGTGCAGGGAGGTTTGGCGCTGGCTTTCCTGGTCTTGGAACATGAGGCTTTCCGGGGTGTCTTCGCCCTCTTGGCAATGGCTGTGGTTGTGGCAATGCTGGTTGTGGAAGAGGCTGTATTCATCAAAGTTATAAAACTTATTAAGTAATAAATTGGAGTTTAAGTTCTTATGTATTATGTTTTCGAGCCGTGAAAGAACCACTAATGCTTGCATTAAGGTAGGCTATTTATATCACACCTTTTAGGGTGCGGCCTGCTTGAAAGCGGGATGTTTTGTGCATTGGGATGTCTTTTACTCATTGCGGTCCATTTTAAGTGTCTTTTTAGCCTTTCACATGTAGTCTAAAATAAGTGTCTTTAACAAACCAGGAAAGCATCAAATTTTTTCCCCTTGCTTTAATAAGCGATCCAGGCAACTTTCTTAAAAAAATCCATGTTTAAAAAGTGATAAAGGATAATTTAGTCAAATATTTATACAATTAATGTTATTAACTAAATTTATTAACAAGTGTGTCAAAACCTTAAAAGAACTTAAAAAGGAGCAGAGAGAGTAATGTATTTAAAGAAGCGATAATATGTTAGTTATTACTAATGTGATAGTTATTAATTGGTTGTTAACATTTTAGTTATTAGTAATTGATTACCAAGTTATCAATTAATGTTATCCAAAATTTAGCAGTAATAAACTTATTCTTTCACAATATGTCAAGTTACCTTTGGTGGCAGGGGCTCTCCTTTCATGATTCCAATATTATAAACTGGTGTAAAATCAGGCCTAAACAATCCAAAATTTCTCTCAGCAGCAGAACCTGGTTTAGTATTCTCATTAAACAAACCAAAAATATAAGTCTCAATTTTCCTATGTGGCATCAATGGTGTCCCTGCCCCAGAAACATATTTTCTAAGCAATCCACCATTATAAGAAGCTGCATTTTCCACAGTACATTGTGGCTCAAAACTTTCACCTAAAGAAGGCCAACCTGTTTCAGTTGCAATAATTTCCACATCTCCATAACCAAGTCTCTTCATTGACATAAACACAGAATCCAACAACATATCAAACATGTTTGTGTACAATTTCTTACTAAACCTATCAAAAACTCCATTATTTTGTTTAAACAAAAGGAAATCAACTTGTTGTGGATTGTAAGCAAAATATGGATATGGATTAGCCATAAAAGGTCCTTTCGTTTCGCGTAAAAATTGTAACATTGGTGCTAAAATACCAACATCCCATCCTGGTCTAAATCTAGCCATACTTGGTGGATTTGATGATAATAAAATTCCTAAAGAATGTGGTGTTGATACTTTGATTGTATTAATTCCAGATTGAATTAGAGCTTGATAAAAGGTTCTCATTGCAGGGACTAATTTATTTTGTACTTCTGGTGTTTCCCAATGGAGAATCTCATTTCCTATAGCAATAACATCAATTTTGGTTTGTGGATAAAATGGCTTAATATTAGCTTCCACATAACTCTTAGCATAGCCTATGTCCAACAATTTGTGAATTTCACCATTTGGGACAGTGACAGTAACTGAGATTCCTGTGTTGGCAAAAGCTCTTAAGATGTCTGGATTAACGTCGAAAATCTTGATTTTGTCGATTATGGTTTTGTCTTTGAGAAATTGAGCAACTTGAGATGGTGGAGGTAGGTTGTTGCCAAGGGTGCCATAGTTAACACCTATGGAGGAAACATAAGGAAAACATTGAATAAAGATAGCTGAAATGAACAAGATGGAAAGGAATGGAGATGTTTTTTTGTTAGACATCTCCATTATTTTTGTACAAGGTAGTTATTGGTAGAGGAAGAATGCAACAGGACATTTATAGAAGGGAAAAGAAAAATAGAGGGGCATTTATTTGTATGGTTTTGCGTTAAATACGACGTTGGACTAATGGATGGAAGAGATTGGAGTTTAGAGTTTGAGGAATAGACAAACTTGTCTGGTAACAAAGGTCAAAGGGCAGCTTAAGATGCGCAAAACTATTGAAAGATGTCCAAAAAATGGCAATGGAGCACATCGTCTTGTTTCTAGTGGCAACGTTTTTTTTTCTTGGAGCCGGAATTAGCGATAAATAAATGGAGTGGTGAAGAATGAAATGTGAAGTACTTTGGCAAAGACAGTCGGAATTTTTAAAAGAACAAAACTGAATCAAATCATCAAAATCTTAAAAGTGTTAAACAATACTCCCTTCGCTCCAAAATAAGTGATTTTTTAGCTGTTTTCACACAGATTAGCTATGAAATTGATCATATTAATCTTTACTATCTCTTCACATAAATACTCTTAACACATACTCCAACACTATTTACTCCAAGGGCAATGTAGGAAAAAATAATTAATTCGTTCTTGAAATCTAGAAAAATAACTTATTTTGGACCACAAAAAAAGGTCAAAAAATTACTTATTTTGGACCGGAGGGAGTAGAAGGGAAAAGAATAAGAAATAGCTTGATTTACAATTAGTAATTGAAAAATAGCCACAATTTTAAAAGTAATCGAAATTTAACTACTTTTTAATAAAATCTGAATAAAAACACCCTTAAAAATCCGAGATTCCAACATAATATCCTGGAATTTCATAATGTGTTGGAGTTCCAACATAATATGCTGGAAGTTTATTTGCAGGAGCTCCATAATTCACCATATTATGCTTGTTCTGGCTAAAATGATAACTTTTTTAATGATTTTGCAAACGCTGACTATTTTTCGATTACCAGCCCACAAACTGGCTAGCCCATGCTATCAGGAGAAATTCAAAAATAGCCAGATTTACAACTAGTCGTTCAAAAATAGCCCAGTTTCAAAAGTAATCGAAATTTAGCCACTTTTCATGTAAAGATAAATCTGAGCGAAAACACTGTTCAAAACCCGGAAATACGCCAGTATATTATACTGGAATTCTAGCATAAGCATGTTTAAACTCCAGCATATTATACTGGAGTTCCAGGATAAGTAAGCTGGAACTCCAGCATAATATGATGGAGTTCCAGCATAAGTACACTAGAACTCCAGCATAATATACTGAAGTTCCAACAAGTATAATTGTCCAGTATAATATATTGGAGTTTGGAGCACCGGTGCTCCAATCTCCAGTATATTATACTGGAACCAACAAAGTATACTGATCCAACATAATATGCTGGAGTTCATACACAGGTGCACCAAACTCCAGTATATTATGCTGGACCGGTCTCTATTGCAGTAAAATAGTGGCTATTTTTCATTGACTTGGTAAACACTGGCTATTTTTGAATAATCAGTCCGAAAACTGGCTATACCGTGCTATTTTTACCATGCTATCTTCACCAATAAAATGATAGCATGAAACCTAATTTGTTTACATGATTTATTTCTTCGATTTTATCCAACNGGGGGGTGGGGGAGGTGTTGTATTAAGGTGCCTTTTGAGGTTTGTGTAGTTCAATAAACGACAGAAAATCTTTATTCAGTCATTTAACAGTTGAGTTTCAAAAACAACTGCAAAAAGGCAACATACATCTTCTTAATGGGCAAGAAATCAAACAGAAAATACAAATTTATGCATCAATATCCTGTGCACACTCTTGAGAACTGAATATCAAGAAACAGAATCAAGCATTAATATTTACTGAATGAGAGTTTCTGTCATTCATTGCTGACAAAAAGAACTGGCATTAAATATGATACGAAAACAAAATGGACTTGCATGATAATAATACTTCCCTTGCTAGTAGGATGCTCAATTCATGTCTCTTTAAAGGGGTCAGGATGAGACTGATGAGAGAATAGTTTTCATCTACCTTTCAGCACACGCTGGATGTCAAAAAAAAAAGAAAAAATATCGTTAAAAACTGAACATACAGTATAAAGGACCTGTCATTGCTTGCAATATGAAAAAACTCAAATCATTTCATATTATAGGTATGAATGGTCCCATAAGGGGGACAACATAGTTAAGTGGTATTAGTTATGTGACGAGAAGTACAGTGACAAATATATACATACACATGCTTATGAGAGAAAGGAAGAAGATAAAGCCTTAAGAACTTTACTTTGTCCCTCTGATTCACTGGTTGGCGCTGTCTGCTCGGAATGCTGCCTGATTCCGGTATTGCTTCTGAAGTATTTAGCTTATGAAATGTCTGCAAAGCTTGGGTAACAAATGGGCGTACTATGTTTGCCTCCATTGCTGAGAGATTTTTAAGCTGTGAAGTGTCAGGTTAATATATCAGATTTTATAAGGGTGTATATTTCTTCCTCAAAATAGTAAAAAGCAATTCTACCGAAGAAAATCCCTTAAACCCACCCCACCCCCACTCCCACCACCCCAACCAAAAGAAAAAGAAGAAATTACTATGTCTTTCCTTCTCCACTCGCCCCAACCATTGTCTCAAACGGAAAGGTTCCACTCCAGTATCTTATGGGAAGCTATGGTAAACGATACATGTTGGAAAACTAATTCAAAGTTGTAGTAGTAAACCTTAGTTATTTAGGATTTGATTTACTTAATTCATGTCTAAATAGAAATTACAGTTAGAATAAATATAGGAATAGACTTTCCTGTTTCTAGTAATATGTTTCATACTATTATAAATAGTGATATTGATAGCTTATTTATATGTGGAGGAAATAAAGAAGTGTAAAGATCAATCAGAGATTTATAATAAAATATTTTCCTTCATATTGGTATCAGAGCTTCTACGATCTTGGGAGAGAATTAAATAGCTTTTGCTGCTTGCGGGCGGCGCTAGCCAATGGGTGTCGCCCGTCTGGCCAAAAAATATGTTGGCAAAATCATAGATAGTTATCAACAAAATTAGGTTATTCGATGAAATGTTTCATGACAGATTCAAGAAGAAAAAAACAAGTTTAAAGAGGTGCAAGCAAATATGGTACAAGAGGAAGAAGTTCTTCTCTAAAAAGTTGGAGAGAAGTAAAAACAAAAAAAGCAAAAACAAAAAGGAAAAAAATTTGAGTGTTGATGACAAAGTGCATCAACGTGAGTTGAAGACAGGGGCTTCAACAAAATTGGATGTTGATGACAAAGTGCATCAACGTGAGTTGGAGACAGGGGCTTCAACAAAATTGAGTGTTGGTGACAAAGTGCATCAACGTGAGTTGGAGACAGGTGCTTCAACAAAATTGAGTGTTGGTGACAAAGTTGTAGTACGATCTTGGGATAAAATCAAAGTTGTAGTAGGAAACCTTATTTCTACGATCTTGGGAGAGAATCAAGTAGCTTCTGTTGCCGGCGCTAGCCAATGGGTGCCGCCCGTCTGGCCAAAAAATATGTTGGCAAAATCATAGATAGTTGTCGACAAAACTAGGTTATTCGATGAAAAGTTTCATGACAGATTCAAGAAAAAAAAACTAAGTTTAAAGAGGTGCAAGCAAATATGGTACAAGAGGAAGAAGCTCTTTTCTAAAAAGTTGGAGAGAAGTAAAAAAAAAAAAAAAGGAAAAAAATTTGGGTGTTGATGACAAAGTGCATCAACGTGAGTTGGAGACAGGGGCTTCAACAAAATTGAGTGTTGATGACAAAGTGCACGTTGGAGACAGGGGCTTCAACAAAATTGAGTGTTGGTGACAAAGTGCATCAACGTGAGTTGGAGACAGGTGCTTCAACAAATCGAGGGATGAAGACATGTGTTTCATCAAAAGTGAGAGTTGGAGAGAAGTGCTCCAACATAACTGCACAACGGACAAGTCAGACATATACAACTTTGAATTACGGGAGAATGTTGGAAAACTAATTCAAAGTTGTAGTAGGAAACCTTAGTTATTTAGGATTTGATTTATTTAATTCATGTCTAAATAGGGATTGTAGTTAGAATAAATGTAGGAATAAGCTTTCCTGTTTCTAGTTTAAATAGGTTTCATACTATTATAAATAGGGATATTGATAGCTTATTTTATATGTGGAGGAAATAAAGAAGTGTAGAGATCAATCAGAGATTTATAATAAAATATTTTCTTCATATTGGTATCAGAGCTTCTACGATCTTGGGAGAGAATCAAGTAGCTTTCGTTGTCGGCGCTAGCCAATGGGTGTCGCCCGTCTGGCCAAAAAGTATGTTGGCAAAATCATAGATAGTTGTCGACAAAATTAGGTTATTTGATGAAAAGTTTCATGACAGATTCAAGAAAAAGAAAACAAATTTAAAGAGGTGCAAGCAAATATGATACAAGAGGAAGAAGCTCTTCTCTAAAAAGTTGGAGAGAAGTAAAAAAACAAAAAAAAAAAAAAGGAAAAAAGTTTGGGTGTTGATGACAAAGTGCATCAACGTGAGTTGGAGACAGGGGTTTCAACAAAATTGGGTGTTGATGACACAGTGCATCAACGGTTGGTGACAAAGTGCATCAACAGTTGGTGACAGTGCATAAACGTGAGTTGGAGACAAGGGCTTCAACAAAATTGAGTGTTGATGACAAAGTGCATCAATGGTTGGTGACAAAGTGCATCAACATGAGTTAGAGACAGGGGCTTCAACAAAATTGAGTGTTGGTGACAAAGTGCATCAACTGCCGTGAGTTGGAGACAGGTGCTTCAACAAATCGAGGGATGAAGACATGTGTTTCATCAAAAGTGAGAGTTGGAGAGAAGTGCTCCAACATAACTGCACAACGGACAAGTCAGACATATACAACTTTGAATTACGGGAGAATATTGGAAAACTAATTCAAAGTTGTAGTAGGAAACCTTAGTTATTTAAGATTTGATTTATTTAATTCAAGTCTAAATAGGAATTGCAATTAGAATAAATGTAGGAATAGGCTTTCCTGTTTCTAGTTGAAATAAGTTTCATACTATTATAAATAGGGATATTGATAGCTTATTTTATATGTGGAGGAAATAAAGAAGTGTAGAGATCAATCAGAGATTTATAATAAAATATTTTCCTTCAGTTTCTTCACCTTAGGCAAGGAGGTTTTGTGTAGAACTTCAAATCAATAGTCAGACTTCTATTTCCTTTGGCCATTCTCAATCAGGCACAAAGTTATCACAGGACAAGAGAGAAGTTATGTTACTCTCCTCTAATGCCACATAGCCCTAGATTCAGGGGAGAATAATTCCTGTAATACATAAACCAGACTAGTATATTTCTTTCATTGTACAATGTACTACATCTACTAGATCAAACAGAATTGACTTTCTCAATTAGTTCACCCTATCATCCACTGAATTTTGAGCATCAGCTGAATTTGCAGTATTGAGTAAATCCTACAGAATGGATAGCAATTGTGCTTCCATATTTAAAGAGACAAGACCTGATGTAACTAAATCAGTATAAGGCCTCCTTTTCTTCTTTAACACACAACCTATCGTATGTTACTTCAGTTCTCATTTTTGTAACATGACTAAGATATTGATCATCAAAATGGCACATGCAGCAGAATGAAAATTGCATATTCAGAAGAGATGAATAAGTGTACCCTCAACGCGTATGTGACCTCCTTAGAAATTATCTCCAAACCAGTTCCAATTTTGTGAAACCGCACATCCTTAATATCTTCAATAAGAGACCTTACCTATTCCACATGTTTGATTCAGAGTTCTGGGTGAATTACTAAATATTTAAGCCAAGAGAATAGAGTAAATAACCGAGCTTACCATATAGATGTCAGGAATATCTTCGCGCGCACTAAATCATTGAATATTATCATCAGTAGACGAACATGATAAACATGATATAAAAATAAGAAACTACTTACTGATCAAAAAGAAGCCTCGAGATCTCAACGTAATGAAATGGTAATGATTGGAACTTTTCAGAATCCCTTTCAGCTTCCAGAACTTGGGTTAACTTTTCTAGTCGACGAAGCAGAGATTAATAAGAACTAAGAACTCAACAAGTACAATCTGCATGCATAAATGATAGAGCAATGAATATGAAATTTCTATTGGAATTGAGATGATTCATAGAGGGAAACCTTATCATTTCTGGACAAAACTTGATGAGTGAGGGGGTGACAGCAGTCATTATCATGTTATCAAAAAACAATTAATTAACCATCTGGTTATCTGATACATAATAGAGTGGGTTTTATCTTGGTTGAAGTAAGACCACTCGCATACTGCTGGCAGATTGAACTTCTCCTGCTGTCTTGGATAAACGTTAGCCCACAGCTTTTGTCAAGGAAGGGATGTTCTTGAGATTTATCAGGTAATTCAAGCACCAGGAAAGTTGTTAGAGGAATGGGATTTCATCTTTTCAGTTAGAAGTGCGATTGAGGAAGATTTAACCGAGGGCTAAGTAGTACTAGACATTAATTTGTCTATCAGCAAATCGCTGATATGACGTTCTTTTTTCAGCTTACTAGTCGGGTGAAAGCTTCATTTTCGGCAGCACTATAAAGCTTCCCCAAGAGTAAAAGCATTTTGCTCCATGCAGGTGTTCTCTAAGCGTTCTATTTCCTAATAACAGTGAATACTCAATTTGGCCCAGGAACATTTCAATTGTTACTTTATTCTAATGCATTCCAACAGCAGTTCAGTAATTTTACGTCTCCAACTGAGACTAATATATCAACTTGCTTTCTAAGAAAAACAAGAAGTTATAGATTTAGCCATGGCAATCTTTCTACCAGTATATTACCAATACTACAATCTCCTTTACAAACTAAAAAGAAAAGGTTAGTCAAAACTACAAGGCACGTACTAGAATTGAGAATTCTTGGTGCTGAAAAACTGCTAATCCGACCAAGGTTGTACGCAGATGCCCTACCTGATCCTTTCGAATCCAGCCGGAGGTGTTTGAGCCCTGTTACGTACTAAAATCCTAAAGAAAAGCGACCCCAGTCCTTCCTCAGCCCAGGTCAAAGGTTTCCCCCTCTCCCTTCTTCTTTTTAGGGGCAAGGTCAAGTTCGTTACGGTCAGCAAATTAGCTTCACATTGTATTGACAGTGTTTCACATCACCTCCTTAGGTCTGCCTAACCTAATTGTGTGTGAACAATCATCCATAATGAAAGCACATGTAGATAGAAGCCGTATGTCGACTGATGAGCTCATTCTCTATGCCGTCTAGGCTCTACAATGAAGTTGGTTGCCCGACGGCTTTCTTTTTCATGCCCGAAATGGCTTTGCAGGTATCAGCCTCCCACAGAGATGGCCTTGTGGTCAACTTTTATTCTGTGTGTTGGAAGTTCCTCTAGATCTCTTTCCGTGTCAACTGACACAATATCCGAGACAGGATAGGCTTTTGAGGCCACAGAAACAGCGTCCCTCTCTATCTATCTAAGGGATGGAAAGGCAGAGGCCTTTGGTGTTCCCTCCAGTCTATTGGGGCCTCATAGCAGCCAATATGCTTTTCTCTCGTGCATTTCTTCATTCAGGGTTCGATATTCTGGTGTCTTAGGCATAGAGGAACCACACCAATCCATTCCGAACATGGTGGTTACTCTACAAGTACATGTTAAGCTTCAACCAAAGAGCTAATTTTTGGAAATGTAAGCAAACAGGAATCAGTACAATGTCGAACTAGCAGCAAATATACAACAATTACTACTATCCCTCAACCCCACACTAGTTGAGGTCGGCTATATGAATCCTCTTTACCATTCTACTCTATTTCAGCCCGTCTCTCTTCCAATACTGAACCTTTTTCTTAGGGGCGGTCTAGATTTAAGACTTAATGTTATACGGATATACAAGTTGAGCTAGCAACCAGAGGCGGACCTATGTATTATATTGAGGGGCCACCAGACCCCGTAAACTTCGTCAGAATCTTGTATATGTATATGTATATACCTTAAAAATGGTTAAATTAAATCACTTGGCACTTGAACGCTAAAAGCATTTAGGGGGCTCTGATTGAACAAAAATTGTGCCACCGTCGCGTTAAAATCCTAGGTCCGCCTCTGTAGGCAACAACTAACTTAGTAAAATAGCATCTCTAACAGTTTCTCTGCAACGGAGAAGACACAAAAAACAAATCTGAATCAAAACTTAAATCAACTGGTCGCAGCATTTGGAAGCACAGATCAGTATAGTCATCCAACATCTAAAAACCTACCAACGGACATCCATTCAGGAGGTCTGATAGTACATTTCCCTCTCTTTTTCAAAGCAACTGCTAACCAGAGAGGCACCTGTGTTGCTATTTGTGGACGGAAAGGTCCAAAATCTCCCTGTCAATCAGTACATTTAAAACAAAATCAGCATAAATAACACAAACACTACGTGAACGAATTTAGTTACTAAAGGAGGAGAATAATACAGATATAAGATGGAGAGGTTCCAATCTCATGTTTGGCACAATTTCAACCGTTTCATCTTCCGCTAGAAACTCCAACTGCATAATTGAGAAACAATAAAAGTTGAAAATTCACCGCTCCGACATATAGATTAAGAACACGAAACAACACAAAAATCAAATGAAATTTCCTAAGTTAATTGCACTTAAACAGACGCGGATCTAGGATTTTAACCAGTGTATGAAAATTAGTAAAGAGCATAATTCAACATAAAATCAAATGAAAAATTCATGATATAATTTGGACGGAAGTGAAGTAAACGAACCTCGGCTGCTGAAAATGCGAAAGCGTGAGGATCAGATTGGCTACCCATTTGCTGTTTATCTTTGCTTGTAAGTAAAATTCGGGATTTGAGTACTGAAGCTGAGTTTCTAAGCCCTAGTTTACTAGTGGCGGGAAATATCAAAAAATCAATTGGGAAAATGGATCATGTTCTCACGTGATGTGCGGACAAAATATGCTTTTACAAATTTGACTAGATGCAAAATTTAAATAAAATAAAACTTCAAGGTTAAAATATTTTAGAACTTGTAATCTTCAGTATTCATAATATTTTATTATTATAAGAAGATATTATTGCACACAAATTTATTGTCCAACATCGCATCTGCATAACCCTGTTTATATATAAAATGTATTAATATTATATAAAAATATATAATGATATATAAGAGGTGTTTAAACACATTTTTACATCACTATACAAAATTATGCAAAAAATATTTTTCGTGTCCTTCGGAGTCAGTGGCGGAGCCAAGATTTTCATTAAGAAGAGTCAAAATATAAAGAAACAATCTCACCAAGAAGTCAAGGGGTGTCATTATATAGTATATATACATATTTTAAAAAAAATTACCGAGTTATACACAGTGGCGGAGCCAAAATTTTTGTTAAGGGGTGTCAAAATATATAAAAGTAACCATATTAGGAAATTAAGGGGAGTCAATACATAGTATATATACATATAATTTATTTTTTTACCTACCTACACAGTGTATTTTTCCCGTGAAGAGGTGTCATTTGACACCCCTTCGTATAAGATGACTCCGCCACTGGCTATACAGTGTAATTTTCCGGCAAAAGGGTATCGGTTGACACGCTTTTGGTGCATGTGGCTCTGCCATTGTTCGAACTTCAACTCACAAAGCTTCATCGGGATGGGTCAAAAATATCACCAAATAGAACTCTAACTCTTTTTATTTTTGTGGTGAAATGGATTACATATATTATTAGTTAGTAAACAAAGTTATGATTGATAGGGGGTACTGGTGTTACTCTCAAATGCACACGCAAGTATACGTGGTCCACAAGTAATAAAGAGTGACTAGAGTATCGTTCCCACGAGGACTTGCGATTAACTATCAACTAAATAAACTCAAACAATTAATCTATTCAAGTGACTTTCTAAAGTGTGATTATTAACTACAAATAATATAGAGTAGCAAACTAAGAAATTAAAGAAAATACGTCAGCAATCTTAGAGACGAATTCAATGGGAGAATATATTCCAGAGCTATGGGTTAGCTAACAATCCCGTTAAGTTTTTCACTTAAATTATCTAATTAAATTATCTAGTTTATTGGTTGACATGGTTAATATTACTCATAGTATTCTCCCGATGTACTACCCGCTTATTCAAGCTAACGCCTATATTCCAATGGAGTTAGGATTAACAAGAACGCATTAATAATTCCTGTATAATAACCAAGCAAGGCGATTATGTATATCCCTATCCTAACCGCAAATCCATTCCCCATAATTCAGGTTCAAGATCTTGCTCTACTCAATCATATTTGCAATCTAGAATTCTATCTCCCGAGTTCAATCCTAGATTCGTATATAGTATTCAATTGGTGATCAAGCAATCAAATAATTAAGCACAAGATTGAATAAATAAACCAATATGATAAAATAATAAGAAGAATTCAAGCTTCAAACTACAACATTCATATAGCACGCACAACTCTAGAACAAATAAACTATGAGATTAAAGGAAGAGAAGAGAAGAAAAATTAGTTGGAATCCTCCTCCCAAGTGTTGTTTGTTTTCTAGTGGCGTGTTCTTCTCCAAAAAATATGTTTGATTCCCTCTAAATTAGGTTTAAAACCCCTTTTATACGAGTTGGGACCGTATATGGTCGAAATAACCTTATCCCGTAAAATAGCAAAAATCTCGCAAGCATGATCTAGACCAGCACGACGCGCTAGAGGCAGTACGTTTTTTCTTGCTTCAATTCTTTGAATTGTTTCACTTATTTTTCTTGTCTTGCACGTGGGGGGGGGGGGGAAC